GTGACTTATCTTCGTTGTTTGTATGTCATCAGGTCTTACTAGCCTAGAATTCTCGGGGCGGAAGTGGTCTCAGGCTGACCTAGCAGCAGCCTAATTTTTTTAGAAAAAAAACTGAAGCAATGACCTAAAATGGAGCTCTCTGGGGCACACAAAGCTTGGAGCCAAGGACGAGGTGGTGGCACTCACCCTCTCATGGCTTGGTTTTAGGCAGTCAACTCCAAGGGGAGCGATTAGTGACACTATATAGGTTAGGATGGCAACTCTAAAAAGATTTTTTTGTTTTTTTTTTTTTTGAGATGGAGTCTTGCTTTGTCACCCAGTCTGGAGTGCAGTGGCACGATCTCAGCTCACTGCAGCCTCCACCTCCTGGGTTCATGGAATTCTCCTGCCTCAGCCTCCAGAGTACCTGGGATTACAGGCATGTGCCACCACGCCCAGCTAATTTTTGCATTTTTAATATTTTTAATTTTGTGTTTTCACCATATTGGCCAGGCTAATCTCGAACTCCTGTCCTCAAGTGATCCACTCACCTTAGCCTCCCAAAGTGCTGGAATTACAGGCATGAGCCACTATGCCTGGCCTAAAGTTGATTTTTAGAAACTCCTTTGGCTCCTGTAAATGATGCAGGCTGTGTAGGTGTGGGGGGGCTTCCCTGGGGGCTCCAGCAAATGAGGGCCCTGTTTTCTGGCCAACTCCCCTTCTCCACACCTCCCGGCATAAAGCAGTGCCCATTGAAGCAGCTCTTCTCAAGTGACACTGGTGAAACTGTCTTGTTTTCTCCATATCTCTTTTTTTTTAAGCCTGTAAGAGTGGAATATTACTGAGATGCAGCCGGATCCCTTCAGGCACTGTCCGGATGTGTGCTCTGGGGTTGGAAATTTTTTAGTAGAATTTTATCACTGGATGGAGGAAAACTAAGTCAGGTCACCACCTCGTTTTGCAAATGGGGATTTGGGGGCCTGGAGACTTTGTGATTTGCCTGATATCAGACACAGCTAATTAATAGCAGAACATGTTCTTGAATCCCAGATCTTCCACGCCCTGCTGCCTGCCTTCCTCTCCAGCACTTCCGTCAGTCTCCCCAGCTGCGGTTTTTCTGGATCTGGGGGGGACTGTAGGACCTGGTCTGTGCTATCTCTGCTCTCTCCCTCACGCTGGAGCTATGAGATGAATGTTTAGAGCCCTAAAGTGCTTTTAAAGTATTGTCAGTTGTCACTACATTAATTCCATTACCTTTATAGATTGCAGAATGTTTCTTATACTGTTCTAATGGCTGTCCAGTAGTCCCTTGGCATCCATGGAGCATTGGTTCTGGGACCTCTCTTGGATACCAAAATCTGAAGATACTCAACTTCCTTATGTGACCTACACACATCCTCCCATATCACTTAAGTCATCTCTAGGTTGCTTATAATACCTAATACAATGTAAACAGTTGTTATATTGTATTGAAAAAATTATATATTTTTTAAAAATTAGCTGGGCATGGTGGCGCATGCTTGTAATCTCAGTTACTTGAGAGTGAGGCAGGAGAATCACTTGAACCTGGGAGGCAGAGTCTGCAGTGAGCTGAATTCATGCCATTGCACTCCAGCCTGGGCGACAGAGTGAGACTCTGTCTCAGAAAAAAAAAAAAAAATTCTAATTACTTTTCTTCCTCTTTGTCTTGTGAATCTCTTCTAGAAGATTTTTTTTTTTTTTAGACAGAGTCTTGCTCTGTTGCCCAGGCTGGAAGGCAGTGGTGTGATCTTGGCTAACTGCAACCTCCCCTTCTCAGTTCAAGCGGTTCCCCTGCCTCAGCCACCCGAGTAGCTGGGATTACAGGTGTGTGCCACCACTCCCAGCTAATTTTTTGTATTTTAGTAGAGATGGGGTTTCACCATGTTGGCCATGATGGTATCGATCTCTTGACCTCGTGATCCGCCCGCCTCAGCCTTCTAAAGTGCTGGGATTACAGGCATGAGCCACCACGCCCGGCCTAGATGATCTCTTTAAATAATACAGCCGGGCTGGGCTCAGTGACTCACCACCTGTAATCTTAACACTTTAGGAGGCCAAAGTGGACAGATAGCTTGAGTTCAGGAGTTTAAGACCAGCCTGGGCAACACGGCAAAAACCCATCTCTAAAAAATGAAATAATAAAACCCTAAAATTGCCATGCACTTTAGTGAGGAGACCAACGGAGGAGACATACATTTGATTGTGTGGCCTTCTCTCCATCCTTGGAACTAAGGATCCCTTTAACGTAACACTGAATTTTTTTCAGGGCACCATTTCTCTGGCCTGGATCCATGCTCCTTTTAACTTAATGTCCGATGGAAGTTGTCCCCTCCAGTGGTCCTTTAATATCGTGTCTGTTCCCTTCCACTCAAAACTAGACTTCACTCGGGCCTAAGGACACAAATATAAGAGGGCAAATCCGTTTTAGCCAGTCATGTCATGCTCCCCTCAAAAAAGCCCAGGCTAAAAATAGGAGGCCCTTAGTTCTGGTTTCTGGCAATTACTCCACTGACAAACAGCCCTGTGACCTCCGGCACCAACCCAAATAACTTCTCAGTGGCAGCTGAGATATGTAAAGTGAGAGGATTTGATGAAAGAAGCCGTGATGCTGATTCTATAAAATACAATAACCAAAGGGGTGAGGAGAGGACATGGAAGATTTTAGGCCTCCCGGCTGTACCTTGGAGAAGGCCAGCCGGGTGCTGAAAAGGACTAAAAGGGCAAAAATGCTAATGTCCAGCCTCCAAGCATAAAGTCAGCAAGGCCCTACCTTCATCCTCCTGACTCACACCAGACCAGAAACTTCCAGAGAATACCAGAATCCACTCCACTCCTTCCCTAATTGGCAAGCCCAGTCAGGCTTAGTCAAGAGAGAAGCTTCTGAGAAGCCCTTCATCTATGGCAGTGGAGGCCAGAGGCCAGAGTGGCCGAGTCTTCGTGGCACGTGGATTCCTCCCAGGCTTCCTTTTATCTAATCCTGTAATTTTTTCTTTAATTCTGCATTTCCAGAGCTCTCTAGAAATGTAGGTCAGAAGCTAGGCATGGTGGCTCATATCTGAAATCCCAGCATTTTGGGAGGCGGAGGAGGGTGGATCACTTGGGGTCAAGAGTTCAAGGCCAACCTGGTGAAACCCTGTCTCTACTAAAAATACAAAAAGTTAGCTGGGCGTGATGGTCCACACCTGTAATCCCAGCTACTCAGAGGAAGCTGAGGCAGGAAGATCACTTGAACTCGGGAGGCGGAGGTTGCAGTGAGCCAAGATTGCACCATTGCACTCTAGCCTGGGCAGCAGAGCAAGATTCACTCTCAAAAAAAAAAAGAAAAAAAAGAAATGCAGGTCAGAAATTAAGGGCAAAGACAGTCCCCAAAAAACGACTTTCTTGTTTTCTTTTTCTTGAGATTGTTTTCCTGGAGTGCAGTGACAGGATCTTGGCTCACTGCAATCTCTGCCTCCTGGGTTCAGGCAATTCTCCTGCCTCAGTCTCCCAAGTAGCTGAGATTGCAAGCTCCTGCCACCATGCCCGGCTAGTTTTTGTATTTTTAATGTAGATGGGGTTTCACCATGTTGGCCAGGCTGGTCTGGAACTCCTGATCTCAAGTAATCTGCCTGCCTCTGCCTTCCAAAGTGCTGGGATTACAGGCCTGAACCACCACACCCAGCCCAAACTGTCTTGTTTCCTAAAGCTTTTAGGAATTTGCAGTTCCCAATCCCCCTCCCATGGCTGCCCACCTTCCAGAGCTGATTTCTGGAACAATGTGACCTTCTGTAGCTGCTGCACAAACTTAGGCTCCGTCTCTTACTGTGACCGCCCCACAGCAGGAAAAAACCCACAGAGATGACACAGCTCAGAGCTCCATGATACAGAAGACAGAGATTGTCTTCTAGGGGATTTTGGACAACTAATAGTTTACCCTAAAGGACATGTAAAATCACCCCTTGAAACCCAGCAGACACGCCTATCACTTTTCGGAGAGCTGAGGGCAATTCCAGCAAGAATGAGTTGTAGAAACTAGGAGTGGCTGTGTCATTGACCTTCCCAAAGTGATATGCGGAAGAGGCAGCTGGGGCCTCTTCCATCACAGCCATGAAATCAACAGGGCAGAAGGATAAGGAAAACAGATTCTCTCTTCCTGAGACAAGAAAGCATCGTCTAACTGTACCCACCTCTATTTCTAGAAAGGATGCCATGTTAGATAGAATCCTGTTTTGCGAACAGAATAAGGGAGAAAGTGTCTTTTTTTTTTCTTTTTTGTTCTTAGGAGAAAGTGTCTTAAGAGAGCAATTCCCCACCCCCTCAGCCTGAGAGTTCCAGGCTCCTAGTTCCTTCCTTGGTATTTGCTGCATAATGTACTTGGCCCTGGGCCCTGCAGCCTGCTGGTGGATCCTTCCGGAAGGCCTGGCTGTGGCAGCCCAGCTGTAGCACTGTGCACTGTGGGAGGACAGATTGACATTGAAGGGCACAACGGGGCTGTCCAGAGGAGCTGTTTGGCCCTTCCTCCCCAGCTTAAAAACTCTGCAAGCCCCTCCATGGCTTCATCCTAGGCTCTGGTTTCTAGACTTCCTTCCCCAGGCTGCCTGCTCTCCCACGGCCCCTCCCTTTGAGCCCAGTTCCTCTTGGATGGAGACTTCCTAATTGGCCTCCTCTCCTCCAATGGAACAGAGTCCCCATGCCTTCTTGGGGGCCTCCATCGTCCCTGCTGTGTCTGCAGGACAGTCTATGCACTCCATGTGCATCTTTATTTTCTGTAGCATGTATGAGCGCTGTGCTCACAACACCCCTGTGGGGGAGGTGGTGCTGCTCTCCCCTTAGACAGATGAGGAAACTGAGGCAGAGAGCTCTCTCTTGCTATATCACCAGAGCCTGGCACACAGAAGCTCCATGTGTGTCTACTGAGTAATGACTCAATGAATATAAAGGAATGGTATCTTTTTTGGAATTTACAACACACACAGACACACACACACACACACCCACCCACCCACCCAGAATACTGAAAAGCTCCCACAGGAACAGAACATTCCACAGGAACAGAACAGATTTAGATTTGACAGAAATGTGACTGCCTATCAGGATGGAAAGGAATGACACTGAGCTAGCTGTATTGTGTGGGAAGCTGGGAACTGCTTTCAGAAGTTCTGAAGACTGCGATCCACAGAGGCAGGGGAGGAAAGAAAACCCTAAGGCCACCTGCCACGCAGCTCGGGAGCATTCGCCCCTCCCCCCACCCCCACTTCCTACCCACCCCTGGCCCAGTGCAGGGTGGTGAGCCCGGCTCAGCCCTTGCTGTCCTTGCATGATGAGTCACTGTGGGAGATGCCTGCTGCAGAGCGAACCTTCCCAAGTGGCCTGAAGGAACAATGAGGCTCCCAGGGAGTCACAGCCACGTTCTTGTGTCCTTGATCTGTTCAGTCACACTTCAGGTCCCTGGAGGATGTTTGTGTTGGCCTGGCACACCCAGCATGAGGCTGATTAAACATGCTTCATGAGCATGCGTGTGCGCGCGGGCGCGTGGGCGCTCACACAGAGGTGTACTCAGCAGCCACAAGGTTTTAGGCACTTTGCCTGAGGTGTGTTTCTCAACAATGACAGGTTAAAACAGAAGCCCTGGGAATGACAGGACCTTCTGCACTGGTAATAGTGGATCAGAGCAGCTCAGTGTTTGCGTGGAATGCACCTTAAAGCTTTCTATGTAGCAGGTTCCCGTTCCTGCATCTATCCTGCAGAAGCTGGGTGACTTTCCTAGGGTGCGGCAGTATCCCTGCATTGCAAAGAAGCTGGTCGAGAAAACTTGAGATTTTTCTTCCAATCCTGAAAATCCGTAATTCTAAATAGCCCCCTCGTATTACAGTTGAAGAATCAAAGACTCAGAAACGTTACTTTCCCACAGTACTTTGTAGAGATGTGGGCAGATGGTCTCTGGGGCCCAGATACCTCCCTGAGTTAGCTGTAGGGACACTCAGACCCTGCTGCACACGCTATGGGCTTTCTCCTGGACGCTTATCCACGGGGTCGGGCTGCATTCCGCCTGGCCATGAGGGAACAGATTAGTACAGGAAGTGCTAGAACAGCAACAGAGCCCACAGGAGACTGTATCCTGGCTAGAAATTCCAGAAACCAGGCTGGGCGTGGTAGCTCATGCTTATAATCCTAGCACTTTGGGAGGTCGAGGTGGGTGGATCACCTGAGGTCAGGCATTGGAGACCAGCCTGGCCAACGTGGTGAAACCCTTCCTCACAAAGGGTGGGGACATCATTTTGCATTCCCAGCTGCCGCTGCTGTTCCAGGTGAGTCTAACAGGAGATGGGATGGAGCGTGGAGCCCAGAGTAGGGAAAGGAAGGCCAGGCAAGGGGAGAGAGCTGCCAAGGCCTTCCAGCTCTTCTTTCCCCCCTTTTTTTAATTAAAAAAAAAAGTTTTAAATTTGGTTTTTAATCAATTTATTTTTTTGAGATGGAGACTCACTCTGTTGGCCAGGCTAGAGTGCTGTGGACAACTTCTCAGTTCACTGCAAGCTCCACCTCCCAGGTTCAAGCAATTCTGCTTTAGCCTCCGGAGTAGCTGGGATTACAGGTGCCTGCTACTATGCCCGGCTAATTTTTTGTATATTAGTAGAGACAGGGTTTCACCATGTTGGCCAGGCTGGTCTCGAACTCCTGACCTCGTGATCCACCTGCCTCGGCCTCCCAAAGCGCTGGGATTACAGGTGTGAGCCACCGTACCTGGCCTCTTCTTTCCCCTTGAAGTCAGTTCTTCCCCTTGGAAGCTTCTAGAGATAGATATATAAAATGCTCTCCCTGACAAAACAGTGGACCCAGATCATTTCTGGGGAGCAAAAGTGCTGAACCCACAATATTCAGGTGCCCCTGGGCTTGTTCCACCCCTGCTGCCCTTACTCTAGGAGAGGCACACCTGTGAGGAGCTGATCTGAGTTCTGCAGTGAAGGAGGAAGCTGTCACTCTTCCCCTTTGCCCTCCCAGGAGCAGGGACCCTGGGGCATCTGGGACCTGTCAGGCACAGGGACGGCTCTGGTATTTCATGGCAGCACAATGCCCTGCATGCCTGAAATTCTGACACGTCCACTCCACCAGCCTTCTGTGGCTGTCCCTGTGACCTGGAGACTGTCCTCGGCCTCTTCAAGCCTGTAGCCTCCACAAGCAGTACTCAGCCCAGCAGGGCCTAGAAGAATGGGGAACTGGGGGCTGAGTGCTGGGAAAGGAACCTGGGTGGAAATTTCCATGACTCTTCTGCTCAAGCAAGGCTGCAGCAACATGTCAGCAGAGACGGGGCCCAGCTCACAAAGGATCACTGTTTCTCTCTCTGGGCTCTTTATCAACTATTGCCCCACCCCGAGCCAGGGCCGTAAACCTCCTCAGTCCAGCCTCCTCTGTTCCTGCCCCCCCGCCCCCCCACCGCTGTTTGTGGCCACAGATCCCTACTTTCCCTTCTTGCACTTATCTCTCTCCATTGCTCCCACACTCCTGGCACTGGAAGTCCCCCAACTTCAGGAGCAAGGTCAAGACCCCTTTCCTTCCCCATTGAACGGTCAGGTCAGTCCATGCTGCAGACTCCTGCGGCCTTCCCTGCCCAGTGACGTCACCAGCATGCCTGGGACAATGGTCTTCACCTAGTGACTCAGCTGTTGTTTTTATTTTTTTATTTTTATTATTTATTTTCTTCTCATTGTCCAAACCCAACTCAGCTGTTGTTATCCTAAGCTATAGCGTGTGGCTTTTATTGTTGTTTGTCATTGTCACCTGTCTTGATAACAGAGTGTCTTATAGTTCTGCCTCAGCTCAGGATGGCTCTGCACATGGCTTAGGCCATGTCCCTCCGCACTGTCAGTCCCATGCGGCCTTGGGCTGGTGCTGGGGGTCTGAAAGGCTCATTCCGGTCCCAGCTGGTGGTCCCTGTAGATTTCCCAGACAGATCAGGCTGAAGTGTTTGTGGTTTGTTCTCCCTCTCTGCCCGCAGCCAGAATTCCTACTTGGCCAGTTCTAAAGGCTAAGCCCTAAGGACTCAGCCTTGCCTGGAGCAGCCTTCCCTGGAGCCTGGCTGGCTGCACCCACCAGCCTCAGCGCTAGCCTAGAAACTTGGGGGTCCTGGAGCCAGCAGGTCCTGCTGCCTCCCTGTTCCTCCACTCAGCCTAAATGTCCACCTACTTGGGGCCCTCCTTCAGCTCCCTTGCAGACCGCACAAGTCTCCCTCCTTGCACCCATCCCCTGCGCTTTGGGTGTCCCGCAACACCAGCAGCATGACAGAGGGCTTCGTGGAGAGAGGGCGCCCCACACCAGGGTCCACAGGCTCAATCTGAGCCTGGTTCCTGTTTGTGGTGCCCCCTCTCAGGCCTGTGGGGTCGTCAGGAGCTTAGGACAGCGCCTGGCTTGAGAGATGTGGCTACCTTCCCTCCACCTTTCGGTACTCAGCCCAGGCAGGGTTAGGTGCAGCACGTAACAGCTATGGGATCTGCTGCAACCATTGGGAACTGAGAGATGCCTGCAGCCCTCCCAGACCCCCAATCTGACTGGAGCCAGGCCCAGGTGGGGAAAGGGTTAAACATTGGCAGTGACTTCATCCCTGCATGGGAGCAGACTGAGGCAAAGTAGGTAAAAAAAAAAAAATCAGGACAGAGGCTGGGTGGAATTTTCCAGTCTCATAAACAGGACCAGTCAGGGTTGCTAAGGGAGGTCACCATGGAAACGGTCACGTGCACCTGCCTCCTGGTTATTCCACCCTGGTCGGGAGGATGATGCAAGCTCTGGGCCTCCTCATTGGCCGCCACCTTCCTCTTGCCACCGAAAGCTGGTGGGAGATTGGCGGAGGGCAGTTGCTGGGCTAGAGCTAGCCTTTCCGTTTCTCCCCCACCCCTCCCACAGGAACCTGCTGGAAGCTGTTCTGAACCAGAGAAGGACGAAAATAGCTGCCAAAGATGTTGCCATAGCAACTGCTTTCCTTCCTGACCTCCTTGGAAGTTAGTAGTTGACTCTGTAGTTGAAGTACTTTTCTGAAGGTGGAAGAAGGTGTCAGCCATTTTACATTGACCTAACTCTTCTTTTGAAGGTGAACTCCCTCATTTTCCTAAGTAGTCAAGGAATTCCTGTGCCTCTACCCACGGCTTTGGTTACCAACCCACCCCTGGGGGCCTTGGTTTCTTTCTGTGAAATGGGATATTCATTCCAGCACTCACTACCTTCTAGGCTGGAGTAAGGCTCCAACTTTGCAAAAGCACCTAGTAAACCGCAAAGCTCCATGCACATCCAACGGCCAGTACTTGACAACACCGATACTCCCTAGGGCTAATGGCTCTGTAAAGTGGAGGATGGGGCAGCTGACTTGTTCAACAAGCCCAGAGCCCCAGGACAGGGGGCCCCTTTGGAGTTTGATTCCTGTTCTGTCACCAAAAGCCCCTGGGGACCTTCAGCAGGTCATGCAGGCCCCCAAGGACTTGTCTTCTCCTTCTGTGAAAGGACCCTCTCTAGTTATCTCAAGAGGCCCTGGGGCCAGGCATGGTGGCCGAGTAGTGAGAATTTGAGACCAGACTGACCAACATGGCGAAACCCCATCCCTACTAAAAATACAAAAACTAGCTGAGTGTGGTGCTTCGCGCCTGTAGTACCAGCTACTCAGGAGGCTGAGGCAGGGGAATCACTTGAACCCGAGAGGCAGAGGTTGCAGTGAGCCGAGATCATGCTACTGCACTCCAACCTGGACAACAGAGCGAGCAAGACTCCGTCTCAAAATAAAGAGGCCCCTGGCTGGGCTCAGTGGCTCACACCTGTAATAGCAGCACTTTGGGGGGCTGAGGCAGGTGGATCATCTGAGGTCGGGAGTTCGAGACCAGCCTGACCAACATGGAGAAACCCCATCTCCACTAAAAATACAAAATTAGCCAGATGTGGTGGCACATGCCTGTAATCCCAGCTACTCGGGAGGCTGAGGCAAGAGAATCACTTGAACCCGGGCGGTGGAAGTTGCAGTGAGCTGAGATTGCGGCACTGCACTCCAGCCTGGGCAAAGAGAACAAAATTCCATCTCAAAAAAAAAGGAGGCCCCTTCCAGCCCTATTCCACGACCCTAAGTTAAAGGCCGGCCTGCTTTCCATAACAAATCTGCGAACTTCTCAAGTACTTTCTACATGGCAGGCACTGTGGGCACATGCATTCGCTCACTTTTCACAGAAGACAGCTGTTGTGATTACAGCACCTACCCATTTTACAGATGAGGAAATGGAGGCCCAGAGAAGTTAAGTAAATTTTCCCAAGGTTGCACAGCCACTAAGTAGCAAGGTCAAGACTTAAAGCCTGGTTAGTCCACACAGCTGCCTTTCTAGGTACTGCAATGATGATGGAAACAACATGGGTCAGTTCATAGCAGGTAAAACGTGGAGTGGAGCAAACCCTGGGCGAGGCACCAGCAACCCTGGGTTCTTCCAGCAAGTTGCTCTTCCTCTTTTGGCCTCAGTTTCCTCGTCTGTAAAAATAAGAGGTTAACCTAGATCTCTGAGGGCCTTTCTATGCTAAACACTCTCAGTCTTTGAGAGAAACCAGCCCAGAGAAGACAAGCGCCAGCTTGCCTGAGTCACAGAGCGATCAAGCACAGCCTTACGGGCTACCCACTAGCTTTGATCTCAACCTTTGAAACAAACAAGGTTTAGGAAGAGTTGTTTGAAGCTAGGGCCTGTGAACCAGAACCAGTTTGTGGGAGTGTCTGCTGTGACTTTTCCAGAAAACTAACTACATCCCATTTTAAGAGGGTCCTTTATTCAGAGATTAAGCCTGTGAAAAGAAATAAATCTTGGAATTCCAAAATCACTAAGCCAAGGGAAAAGTCGAGCTGGACTATGTCAAGCAAATCTCGGTCCCATTTACCCCTCGGTAAGATAGCTACAAAGATAAGAAAGCTACAGACCGCCCTCATGATTTGCCCCCAAGGAAATTTCTTGTGGACAAAGGACAGACAGAATTCAAAGTCTTCTCACGAGACTGATGCATATCTGACTGCTTCCCCTGCTCTCTTATTTCACTATGCCAGACTAAGGCATGAGTGACTATTCCTCAGCCTGCCTCTCAAAAGTAAATTGCATATTCAGTGAAAGGCTAATCAGAAACTCAAAAGAAGGCCTGGCTGGATGGCTCACGCCTGTAATCCCAGCACTTTGGGAGGCTAAGGTGGGTGGATCAAGAGGTCAGGAGATCCAGACCATCCTGGCTAAAACGGTGAAACCCTGTCTCTACTAAAATAAGAAATTAACCAGGCATGGTGGCAGGTGCCTGTAAGCCCAGCTACTCAGGAGGCTGAGGCAGGAGAATTGCTTGAACCCAGGCGGTGGATGTTACAGTGAGCCAAGATCACAGCACTGCACTTCAGCCTGGGTGACAGAACAAAACTCTTTCTCAAAAGAAAAAAGGCCAGGCGCGGTGGCTCATGCCTGTAATCCCAGCACTTTGGGAGGCTGAGGTGGGTGGATCACGAGGTCAAGAAATTGAGACCATCCTGGTCAACAAGGTGAAACTCTGTCTCTACTGAAAATACAAAAAATTAGCTGGGCATGGTGGCGCGTGCCTGTAATCCCAGCTACTCAGGAGGCTGAGGCAGGAGAATTGCCTGAACCCAGGAGGCGGAGGTTGCAGTGAGCTGAGATCGCCCCATTGCACTCCAGCCTGGCTAACAAGAGCGAAACTCCGTCTCAAAAAAAAAAAAAAGAAAAAGAAAAACTCAAAAGAGTGCAACTGTTTGTCTCTTATCAACCTACCTGGAAGCCCTGTCGTCATCTCAAGTTGTCCCACCTTTCTGGACCAAACCAATGCACCGTCTTAAACATACTGATTGATGTCTCACGTTTCCCTAAAGTGTATAAAACTGAGCTGTTTCCCGACCACCTTGGGCACATGTCATCTAGACTTCCTGAGGCTGTGTCATGGGTGTGTCCTTAACCTTGGCAAAATAAACTTTCAAAATTGGTTGAGCCCTGTCTCAGATATTTTGGGTTCACAAGCCCTTCTTGTATCTTTGATGGCATACAGACTTTTTCTCTTATGAAATGGTAGTGACAGCCGGGCGCAGTGGCTCACGCCTGTAATTCTAGCACTTTGGGAGGCCAAGGTCAGTGGATCACCTGAGGTCAGGAGTTCAAGACCAGCCTGGCCATCATGGTCAAACTGCATCTTTAAAAAAAAGAAAAAAAAAGGCCGGGTGCAGTGGCTCACGCCTATAATCCCAGCACTTTGGGAGGCTGAGGCGGGTGGATCACAAGGTCAAGAGATCGAGACCATCCTGGTCAACATGGTGAAACTCCGTCTCTATTATAAATACAAAAATTAGCTGGGCATGGTGGTGCACGCCTGTAGTCCCAGCTACTCGGGAGGCTGAGGCAGGAGAATTGCTTGAACCCAGGAGGCGGAGGTTGTGGTGAGCCAAGATCGTGCCATTGCACTCCAGTCTGGGTAACAACAGTGAAACTCTGTCTCAAAAAAAAAAAAAAAAGAAAGAAAGAAAGAAAGAAATGGTAGTGACAGTGCAGGGTAGTTTTGTTTTGTTTTGTTTTGTTTGAGATGGAGTCTCGATCTGTTGCCAGGCTGGAGTACAATGGTGCCATCTTGGCTGACTGTGTTGCAGTGAACCCCAAGTTTCTCTTCAAAGAATCAGTATGTCAGTATGTTCAGCTCTCTTATTCTTTAATTCTCTATTTTAAAATTTAACTTCCTTGTAATTCCAGTAAACAACCTTCTCCACCAGTTCTAATCAGTAGATCACATCTGCTGTACCTCCCCTCCCTCCATCCCGACTCATCCCGGTCACCTAATCACCCCTGGCTACCTGCTCTGACCCGCTGGACCTTCCTGCCAAAACACCCAACCAGCCACTCCAGCTCGGACCCCTGCTCTTTTAAAATAGCCAATCGGGATTAGTCTAGCTTGTGCAGTCTAACCGTAGCCAATAGGGGGATGATACAGCAGTAGGGACAACCCCCATCAGGCATAAGTGCTCCTTCCTCCCTTGTTCAAGCGTGCAGCTGCCATTATTCCAGCTGAATGCCACACCCTTGTATAGAAGTAAACTGCCTTGCTGAGAGGACTTATCTTCAAGTGCTATTTATTTGTGGTGTTGAAATTTTGCTTATAACAACTGCAACCTCTGATTCCCTTGTTCAAGCGACGCTCCTGCCTCAGCCTCCTGAGTAGCTCGGATTACAGGCATGAGCAACCATGTCCAGCTAATTTTTGTATTTTTAGTAATAGACAGGGTTTCATCATATTTACCTCATGATCCACCTGCTTCAGCCTCCCAAAGTGCTGAGATTATAGGCATGAGCCACTGCGCCTGTCCTGGGGTAGTTATTTTGTTTTAATTTTATTTTTCTTTTTTTTTTTTGAGATTGAGTCTTGCTCTGTTGCCAGGATGGAGTGCAGTGGCTCGATCCCGGCTCACTGCAACCTCCACCTCCCGGGTTCAAGCGATGCTCCTGTCTCAGCCTCCTGAGTAGCTGAGAGTACAGTCTTGTGCCATCACACCCAGCTAATTTTTGTATTTTTAGTGGAGACCAGGTTTCACCATGTTACCCAGAATGGTCTCAATTTCCTGATCTTGTGATTGACCTGCCTCAGCCTCCCAAAGTGCTAGGATTACAGGCGTGAGCCACCTTGCCAGACCTATAATTTTCTTTCTTTCTTTTTTTTTTTTTGAGACAGAGTTTCACTGTTGTTGCCCAGGCTGGAGTGGTCAGGCTGGTCTCGAACTCCTTACCTTAGGTGATCCACCTGCCTTGGCCTCTCAAAGTGCTGGGATTACAGGAATGCACCACCACACACGGCCTATAAGTTTCTTATTTGGGAAAAGTTGGCTCACCATTTGTCAATATATCCAATTCTTAAAAATGTTTTATTATGGAAAATTTCAAACATAAAAAAGTGAAAAGAGTTTAATGAATCCCCATGTTATTAATACCCCGCTCCAACAGGAGAATCACTTGAACCCAAGAGGTGGAGGTTGCAGTGAGCCGAGTTTGTGCCAGTGCACTCCAGCCTGGGCAACAGAGTGAGACTCCATCTCCAAAAAAAGAAAAGGCCAGAGTCCTGACTGCTAAAATTGTGTCTCAGTTATTGCTTTGAGCTGAAGAAAAAGGAAGAGGAACTTCAGTAGTTGTATGTTTCTTCTCACCTCTAGGGAAAAAGCATCCCACTTCCTCAGGGAAAGGAAGCTTTGTGCTGGCAGTTAGTATATAAGGAATTTCTCATGTAGGCCTCCATAGAGGGATGTGGTGGCTGCTGGGAATAGACTGCAGCTTTCCTAACTAAGGGCACTGTTCACTGAGCATCCAAATCAGCAGCATCAGCAGAGACAGTGGATGGCAAGGAATGACTCAGCTAGGGCAGCTCTGCAAAGCCACAGAAGGAGCTTTGTGGGGTTTCTGGCCGGACCCAGAGATGAGGGCTAGAACCAAAGAGGAATGGATGGACTGAATTCCCATCAGAGAAGTGTGGCTCCTGGCTTTCTGGCTTACATGGTTAATAATTGTAGTTTTTTTTTAAATCTAATGACTTCAACACCATCTATAAAATATTGTTGTGTTTTTTTTTTTAAAAAAAAAAAAAGGCTGGTGCAGTGGCTCATGCCTGTAATCCCAGCACTTTGAGAGGCCCAGGTAGGCAGATCACAAGGTCAGGAGTACGAGACCAGCCTGACCAACATGGTGAAATACTGTCTCTACTAAAAATACAAAAATTAGCCAGGCATGGTGGCATACGCCTGTAATCCCAGCTACTCAGGAGGCTGAGGCAGGAGAATCGCTTGAACATGGGAGGCGGAGGTTGCAGTAAGCTGAGATCGCACCACTGCACTCCAGCCTGGGTGACAAGATCAAGACTCTATCTCAAAAAAAAAAAAAAAAAAAAGCCTGTAATCTCCGCCCTTTGGTTGGGAGGCCTAGGCAGACAATTCACAAGGTCAGGAGATCAAGACCACCCTGGCCAACATAGTGAAATCCTGTCTCTACTAAAAATACAAAAATTAGCTGGGCATGGTGGCACATGCCTGTAATCCCAGCTACTTGGAAGGCTGAGGCAGGAGAAATGCTTGAACCCGGGAGGCGGAGGTTGAGGTGAGCTGAGATGGTGCCATTGGGCTTCAGCCAGGGCAATGTGAGTTTCTGAAACTCTGTCTCAAAAGAAAAAAAAAAAAAAAAAAGCAGCTTGAGCAACATTGTGAAACCCCATTTCTACAAAAAAATAGCCAGGTGTGGTGGTGGCATGCACCTGCAGTCCCAGCTATTTGAGAGGCTGTGTTAGGTGGGAGGATCACTTGACCCTGGAGGGCTGACATTGCAGTGAGCCGTGATTGTGCTACTACACTCCAGTCTGGGTGATAGACCAAGACCCTGTCTCAAAAAAAAAAAAAGAACCCAGGTTGGAACATGCCGCTAGGTCTAATAACTTGTTTACAGGAAATGCAGAGGGAACAGAAAACTATGTCACAGCACACCACATCACAGGGCTATGATGGGCAAAATCCAGAACGTGGAAAATTCCAAGGGCAAACCACCCAGATTCATCAGCAAATACATTTCAGGGAGAAAAAAGGTGGGGAGAGGAAACTTACAGAGTATACTGGAGTCTTAAGAGACATAGAAATTGGCCGGGCACAGTGGCTCACGCCTATAATCCCAGCACTTTGGGAGGCCCAGGCGGGTGGATCACAAGGTCAAGAGATCGAGACCATCCTGTACAACATGGTGAAACCCCGTCTCTACTAAAAATACAAAAATTAGCCGGGCATGGTGGTGCGCGCCTGTAGTCCCAGCTACTCGGGAGGCTGAGGCAGGAGAATTGCTTGAACCCAGGAGGCAGAGGTTGCGGTGAGCCGAGATCATGCCACTGCACTCCAGTCTGGGCAACAACAGCAAAACTCCATCTAAAAAAAAAAAAAAGAGAGACATAGAAATCCAAGGAAATGCGTGGATTCTTTTTAGAGCCTGATTGAACAAACCAACTCTCAAAAAATATTGAGACAAACTGTGTATTTGAACATTAGTACTTTAAAAAAAGGTCTTTTTTTTTTGAGACAGAGTTTCACCCTATCGCCCAGGCTGCATGGAGTGCAGTGACACGGTCTTGGCTTACCGCAAGCTCCGCCTCTTGGGTTCAAGCAATTCTCCTGCCTCAGCCTCCTGAGTAGCTGGAACTATAAGCACGAGCCACCATGCCTGGCTAATTTTTTTATTTTTAATAGAGATGGGGTTTCACCATATTGGCCAAACTGGTCTCGAACTACTGATCTCGTGATCCACACACCTCAGCTTCCCAAAGTGCTGGGGTTACAGGCGTGAGGCACCGCGCCCACCTTTTTTTGCTTGTTTTTTGTTTTTTCAGGTGGTCCTTGAATCAGAATAGGTTCAGAGAAGCTCCCTGGTTAATTTTTTTAGGTGTGAAAATGCCAATAGGGTTTTGATTTTATACAAAATGTTTTACAAATTGAAAAATTAAGAAAAATAATTATGTCTGGGGTTTGTTTCAAAATAATCCAGGTAATGGGGATTATAAAGAAAGAAGAAACACTTTCTCCCACCCTCTTATTTCCTGGGCCTTGCAAATTAGACCGACAAAAAACAGACTAAGAGGAAATAGGCATACATTTTATTTGATGTTAATTTTTTTTTTTGAGACGGAGCCTTGCTCTGTCAACAGGCTGGAGTGCAGTGGTGCCATCTGGGCTCACTAAGACTTTCTGTCTTCATGGCCATAAACATCCCTGAAATATATCTCTGGCAGTCCTCATTCTAGGAGTTTGTGCTGCTTGTAGTCAGATAAGGAAAGCTCCAGAAAGGCTTTTTTTTTTTTTTTTTTGAGACAGTTTCACTCTTGTTGCCCAGGCTGGAGTGCAATGGCACAATCTTGGTTCACTGCAACCTCCACCTCCCAGGTTCCAGCAATTCTCCTGCTTCAGCCTCCCAAGTAGCTGCGATTACAGGCA